AAGGAAGTCCCGTGTCCATCCTGGGCCATGTTGCCGTTGAGTGTACGAATTAATATTTATGCTTGCTAAGAACACTCTTTAGAAGGTGCCCAAGATGCATATGCAGCGACGTTTAATGACCAACTTGATCTTGCCATAAGCTCCTGAATGCGATGAGCTGCGGCTCATAGTGCGCTGGGGATGGTGCTGTTGGGTTCGCAGTTGGGCTCGCACAATGCGTGGCTTGAGGCGGCACCGACATCCATAAGTGAGACGCGAATATTCAATTCACAACTCTGTATTTACGTTCCTACCGCCGCTGCCAGCTTCTTCGGCCGGCAATCATTGACAAATTGCATGCAACTAGCACAAATGTGACGCGAATCAATGAAACACTCGCCATGCGTTCCGATGGCATTACTGGTTTTGTGCGGTTAGTATGTGCTGAGCCACCGACCTTATTTTCCGTGTACACAGGTAAATGAGTGGGATGCTGTCTATGTGATCCAAGAACAGCTACCTGTTTCAGCTTGAAAGCAAGTCCGTGTTCTCTGACCAGTAGCTTTTAATACATCTGTTCCCTGCAGCAGTCAACACTACTTTCGGCAGTCCTCTTAGCTCTCCTCAACCCTCGCTACGCTGATGTACTGCGCGCACGGCTCTCAGTGAGCTGGGCACTTCAAAGTTGGGCATCTTCAGGAGGTCACTTCCCATGGGTCTCACACTATGGAGCTTGACACCTCTCTCTTTGTCTCGCTCTCCCCTACCCCCCCCCCCCTCTCTCTCTCTCTCTCTCTCTCCTCCCTCCTTCTCCTCTCTCTCTCTCTTTCCCCTCTCTCCCTCCCTCTCCTCTCCTCTTTTCCCCCTCTCGCCCTCTCTCTCTCTCCTCTCTCTCTCTCTCTCTCTCCTCTCTCTCTCTCCATCGCTGTCTCCCCTCTCTCTCTCTTGTCCACCCTCTCTCTCTCCCGCTCTCTCCTCTCTTTCCCCCCCCGCTCTCTCTCTCTTCTCTCTCTCTCTCCTCTTCTCTCTCTCTCTCTCTCTCTCTCCTCTCTCTCTCTCTCTCTCTCTCTGGCCGGTTTTCCTAAATCTGACAAACCTCCAAGGAATGACATTATATGTGTGCATGCAGCACTCCTGCCAGTTCTCTTCTGCGCAGCAGATCTTTTTCCGGTGCGGCCGATCGGAAACAGGACAACATTCACGTCCTGTCCCCAACAGCTGCAAGCAGTTGGGCCTATGTGAACTCCGCGAATACAAGATCAAACACTTCACTCTTTGTGTTTTCATTATCGACTTCCGTTTCTTGACCGCCTTTATAACAGTTAGAGATCTCATGCTGATTTTTGTTAAATGTTTTGCCGTGCTAAATTTATGACATTTTAAACCTACTTCCAATTCTTCACCATTTCGATTTGAATCGGTGTTGATCTATGGCTCATTTATAAATGCCACGTGAGGGATGTTTCTCACTAAATGAACAACACATTCCATGTGTTGGCAATCGGCTCATGCTGCTAGCTGATACCTATAACCGATCTTGAATTTAGCTAAATTAGACTTTTTGGCCTGAGGGTAATGAGCGAGGTCATCAAAGATCTTCTATATGAAACCTGCTGGGTGAAACATTTAGCATACCAGTCTTGGTCATTCACGCCCAAACATTTACATAATTTACACTTGCAAGAACATTTTGTCACGACCCACCATATCGCTGTCATTTGAACGACCAATTGCACACATTGCGGTTGAAACAACCAGTTGTGATGAATTTGTTGGTTCAAGGTCACGCTGGCTCAAATGAGTATGAAACAGGTAATTCCGCTCAGAATAGTTTGCTCCATGATGTGGGCCAACGAGCTGCATTGGCGATTGTTTATTATTCAACTTGTTTTGCTTTTGAGCACCTGAATGCAGGAGCCCATTCGTAAATGTCGTGTGAGGATAATTCTAGCTAAATGAACAGCATACTTCAGTTGTTGGCAGACAATTCTAACGACCGTTTGACCCTTCAAAGTCGGACAAACTCACAACCTTGAATTATTCATGCCTACATGCGGCATCTAGGCAGCCATACGATCGCCTGTGATGAACTGGCATCGACATGGCACGGCGAATCCCTGGCATCCTTGTTTGCCCTGAGAGGCCATGCATTGATCCATGCCCCAGCACCCGAACATTGCCAGAAATGGAAGACGCCAAAGTGTATCTTGGCGGTTACGGAATTATTTAATGTTTCTTTGTTTGAAAGATATACCGGTAACAAGATTGTGTGTCGATGACATGGCCCGTTTAGTGTCGTTATCCTGGCCTGAAAGATAATCTATGAACCCGAAAATAAAAACTAACGTAAGTTGTTCAGCGCATTAGCAAATAATATTTTATTCACATGGATAAGACAGTGCTGCTTATCCCTCGGAGAAAAACCAGGAAAAATGAAAAATATAGATGGGTTGATATTTCGGCAACATGTCCTTTATCGAAACAATAGCAGAAGTGAATTCAGAATTACCTGCCGATGATCCTACTCTATTTTTCAGGTTGTTACATCTGAATAGCTTAAACAGCAAGCAACAGGTTCGCGCCTTTCCCGACGCTCTATCCCTCTCAGTTCGAAAGTTAGTAGAGGTTGGGGCTTTCAGGCCACCCCGGTCGAGTGAGGGCGTGAAGTGGTTGCCTCGGGCGATGGTTCACCGGCAACGATAGGATCTCGCGCCAATCAGAACTGTTTCCTGTGTATTGTGTTTCAGCGCGTCGACCGCAGTGGTCACTTTGCGCTCGCCAATCACAGCTGACTGATGGCTGCGGGCACCGGCTCCCTGCCAGCCCGTGACAGACTGGAGAAAAGGGGATAAGCGCAAGGTCGTTAGAAAGCTTACAGCTTCTCAACAGCTTATACTTCGCGTATTCCGCTATCTGAGGTCAAGCTCATCTTATACATTATTAGCCATTCTCTGATACTTTGCATGCCTTGCATCGTTCAACTCGTGCTCATGTGCTGCTAACATTTAGCATAGGTCGACTTGTTGTCGGGCCGACTACATTTCGGGGCAAACCTAGGCAAATAACCATGGGTAATCTTGCGTAAAAATGTCACAGATGCAAGAAGGCGACACTGGCAAGTGTTGAACACTGATGGAAAGGTAAGTTGTTCAGTGCAGCTGCGGGAAACATAATACATACATAAGAGGAGCACCAATGACCTTATTCCTCGTTAAAAACTAGGAGAAAAAGGAGAGGTCCGTTGATATTCCGGCATGAAGCCTGCCGAGTTCTTTTAATTTTCTGTTCACAATCGTTACTACAAAGGCTTGCAGCCGGACTTTAAATGTTTCTGTTTTTCTCCTAGTAGGTCAACGAGGGACACGGTGTCAAACGCAGATAAAGATGATACATTATCATGTTCAAACACGATTAAGATGGACTCTGTGTTAACAAAATAATGCTTTACAAGGCTCATGAGGTGAAGGCCACATAACTGGTGAAGCTGGGAAACAGTCATATGCTGGGCTGGACCTACCCTGCTGGCCCAGCAGGGGCTGGCCACAGACATCAAGTGTTGATCAGCGCGCATTAAATAAGCAGACTTGTACTTGATCTCATTCAGACTCAAGATAGCACTCGAATCTCCACACTTTTACATGGGCCCAGTGTAATTCGAGCAGCGATTCTCCGGGTCTCGACGTGATTCCGAATCACACTTTCTCAGACTGCTGTGGCTAACAAACCATTCCACCTAAAGCACTCAAAAAGCGTGAAAGAATAACAAGTCTTAGGTGCGAAGACATTTGGGAAGGAGACTTGCCACATCATTCAGACAGGTTTACAACACCTTGTACCTTATTCAACCCATAAGGTACAAACCGCGGACGAACTTTTGGCGTTCAAGAGCATGGATATGTTTCGCAAACACACCAGCACATCTGCAGAATGTTTTCCTAATATAACGTAACAGATAAGTCTCAAGACTTTCACAACCCATTGGCCACTGTAATAGACAAAATATGAACTTAACCGACCTACTTTGAAGTGTCGTATAATGCCAGGACTCGCTTGCCCTGTTCTAGTCTGGCCCTCTTCGTCAGGTGCCAGGTCACCATCACCGGCTGGCGTCATAAGAACAGTTTCGGGATCCCAAACACATTTTTTTTCGCCGCACAGTGTTCAGATTCTGGCGCTCTGGCAGTCGAGTTTTGGGGATGGCGACGGCTTCAAATGTAAGCAATTACGCTGGAACGCTGGCAGGCAAGGTACGCCGCGTGCTGTGAGTCTTCCGACACATACACATTTTACAAAATCTCCAGTCACTAAAAAGTCTCAAGGAACGCGCCTGCACTGATAGCATGCTAAATGACTTGTGAGTGTTTAGCTTGTATCCATGCTCACCAACCTGATGCACAGAGCAGTCTCCCAAAGACAAGAAAAGCAAAAGCAAGTATTCTCTCGCTTGCTTTGAATGCCACCACCATTTCACATACATTTTCGCTATTGAATGCCACATACCCATTTTAGTATGATATGCCACATACCCAGAAGATAACATGAGAAGAACGACACTGGCGTGGCATGAAAAGACAACCATGACACCTTTAAGTTACCGCGAGTGTTTCAAAATAACATCACAGTAGGCTGGTGGGGCTGGGCATCCAGACCGCGGCCCGTGTTATCCGGCCGGAGTGCAGCTCCAAAACAAGCCCAAATGTCATAGTTTGACCTCATCCGCGACGTATCGTCCACCAGCTGTGTAAATGTGTGTATAACGACAATCATGTGATAAAAGGCTTTCACACAGCTATCGCCACCGTACAGACATGAGCCGGACCCAAGTCCGCACCCACCACATGAGAGAGACTCAGCATGCCAAATTCTAAAAAGGGAAGGAAGTATGAAAGCCGGTCACCAAGGGAGATACAGCTTTATCAAGTCAGATGTTTATGGCCTCCCCTTCCAACGAACCAGCCAGTCTGCCATTGAATACACAAGTAGTTGATTGGCCTGAGACTCCGTGCCTTCCGGCTACTGACCGTTCAGCAGCGCGAGCAGCGCGGCAGCCCGCAGCAGGAGGGACCGAGCCATTTCCGTCGCCCTTCGCCGCCGTCGTCCCGGCCCACCGCCCGTGCGCAACTGGTGCCCGCGTCGGCGGCGACGGGGTGTCGGCCGCGACGAGGGCCAGCGCGCACGCCCGGCACCCGCCGACGACAGTCGAGGGGCCGCAGATGAGGGGGGGGGGGGGCGGGTGGAATCCGACAATGGTGAGCTGGGATGGACCTGCCGTGTCTGCCCCGAGGCAGTCTGGAGTACTACGATGTGAGAGCAGGCAACATGGCTTCTAGGTCGCTTTTATTTAGAACGTGTGCAACAGCAGCCGTTTATAATTTTAAGTGCATACTACGCCAGTGCAAATGGAGGGTCCAATTGCTAAAGGTTTCGATTGTTATCAGGCACGGACACCATGCGAACTTATGCATCACTTCTCATGACATCGCCAACAACTAGTAAAGAAAATCGCTGGAACCGAGTCAAGTAAGTCCGTCCGAATGTCTCATTGTTAAAAAAAAAATGCAAGCCTTGCTAAGTAAATACGATTGTGTTGTCAGAGTCATTTCCTCATGGTCAGTCATTTTCCTCCTCGTCGATGGAGGACGTGTGTTAGATCAATACCAAACTTACTTAGAACTAAGGGTTCGAGCCGTCTTAGATCACGCCTTGCGTAAGTTTCTGCGTATTTCCTGTATAGTTTTAAATTGCTAGAGACGCACCTATTTTAATCGGTGCGTCATGCAAATAGTCCACTAAATTTGACAACAGGCGGGGTTGCCACTTCTTATCTCTTAGAATCGGACACATTCGCTCGATGTCTCCCAAATCTCTGGTTTGGTCGGCATGAAATGTAGGGCAGAAAAACCTGAAAAGTGTTACCTAAGCCTGAAAAAGCCCGCAAAGGGTGTGACTTGAGTGATGCCGCGGTCCCAACGCTAACCATGATAAATGCAACACCTTGTTACAACGTGTGTCCTGCTGCTTGATAAGTTGCTGTCGCATAGAACATAACGCTTTTATAAATGTACGACATCCTCCAGCCCCCAGCCAACCACTTGTATCAAATCTTGAGCAAGTCCGTACATCCCAACGGACTGAAATCTCATGATCTTAGCTCCCATCCGACCGGCAAGACTGCTGCAATTGTTGCCAGATGTCGGTATCGACCAGCAGCGCCAGGCCCCGCGCCCGTCGCCACCTCTCGTCGATCGCGTCGATGTTGCGTGAGCGCAAGTTCGTCGGCACCGGCGGTCCACCGGCGAGCAGGGACCGCGGACTGCGGGTCGAGGCCCGCGATCGGCACCGCGCCGGCCCCGGAAGCGCGCCACTTCCGGCCGGCGGAGACCGGCGCCCGGCTGGTTGTTGCCCGGCGCCGGAAATTGCAGGCCTGGAACACAGCCGGCTAAGCCACGGACGAGCAAACGCTCTCCCCGTGCGGCGAAGGCTGGGCGATGCGGCACGGGTGGCCGTGGGAGCCCACGCGTGCTCGTAAAGCGCGCGAGAGGCGGGAGGGCCGCAGCTGGGGCAGCCCGTCGTCGGGGTAACGCTCTGGAGCCGTGCCCTGCCGCGCCGCTCGGTCTGCCGTTCGCCGAACAGGACTTCCGGTGAATGCGCTGTCCGTCAAAATGTCACAAGACAAGGTCCGCTGCTGTTGCATGTCACCGCGCCAACGATGTCATGCACCTAATGGCGTGGAAATTAGCTGGATGTGAAGCCAGACGCAACTAGCAGAGAGCTCTATGAACTCGGCCAGCGTCATGTCGGCGGCTCAGCACGGTACTATGCGAGGCAGCAATGGAGTGTGGGGTCGGTGCGGTGCCCACGGTCGTGCTGTTGCGGACCAGGCCAGTATGAGTCACTGATGCGAAGCCTGGCCACCACTGTCGGACCCAGTATTGATCGCCGGGCGTCTCATGAGGCTGGCTGCGAGCTACGCCACCGTGACCCGGCCCAAACAATAACATCGCCACCGCCATAGAGTGACTGCGCATAACAACACCGCAAGTAAAAAGCCAGCGGCGTGGAGGCTTGGTGGGAGTGGTACTGGGCTTTGTTCCTGTTCATTATCACATATCAAATGAAAATTCACACTTCCAAGCACACGCGCGTGAAGCACAGGCATACAGGCGACTCCACGCCAGCACTCTTCCATATCGTTCCCGCTTCAGCTCCAGCAAGCAACAAATTCTAATCAAGCGTCGATTGGACGTCACCAATCGAGGCGCCGTCCTGAGGCTGATTTAGGGCCCGTCACCGCCGCCAGCCGCCCTCCCTCCCTCCCCTCCCCCCCCCCCCCTCCCCCCTCCCCCGCTCGGAGATCCCGGCTAGACAGCGGCCGGCCGGCCGTTCGCCCTGCGGCCGTTCTGCGCTGGCCGTCGGCGATCCGCGCGCTGATAGGGCGGTGGCCGGGATAATCCGGCAGCCGGCCGGCCAACATAGCCTGCGACCAATCTGGCCTGGGGATGGGGGGGGGGGGGCAGGGGAGGGGGCGTGCTCTGGCGTGAGTCACGGTTTTACGAGGACGAATGACTCAATTTGTTCATCAGCTTTCTTGTCAATCGAAGCTCAGAGAGCTAGGAAGTGCTGTAATCTAGCTCTGATGCATGCTCATTATTCGATGCAAGCAAAGGACGCTTTGCAAGGGGGGTTCTAATATATTTCAACATTTACTACGCGCTGGTATATAACTAGCCAATCATTACGCTGCGGCTGCAGTTCGGCGTTGTCAAATAAAAATGCCTTAAAACATCCTGTTTTGCTCTATGAGGTACGACAAAATTATATACACTGCCATAATATAAAAAGCACGCAAAAATTAGTCCCCCTACCCTATCATACATAACGCTGTGTGTTGACATGTCCTCAGGCCTAAGTTGTTTTAATAAAATGATGTTGTGTTAGGAATGACAGGTGTGGGTAACTCAGTGCAGTTGAATAACCATAATGTCGCATAAATCAATGAACAAGTCTAAATACTTGGAACTCGCCGTGGACGCCAGACCTTTGTAATGCGCGGTGTTCGATTACTGCCCATGTCCGACCGTCTATAGGACCGCCCATAAATCATGCCGCCGTGGAGGAGGGGGAGGATATTGATGAAACATAACCGTGCCGTAACAAGGGAGGGAAGGGGCCGGAGGGCGTAACGTTATGTTCAACTGCAGTTGAAAATCGTAGCTTTCTCGGGTTTCTTGAGGTCGACACGTGTCTCCGAATGACCAGCAGCAAGACGTCAGCATCGAGAACTGTCCCAGCAAACAGCGAATAACCAATGGACCATGCAAACAGTTAGTGGCAAACAAACAAGCGCAGTAGACGTCTAGAAGCATGCATCACCTGCACGTACATAATTTTACAAAGAGATAATACAATGGTAAATAGATAACATAAAAACCGCTTGAATAAGGAACAGGCATGCCACTCAACCCGTGCCGTGCGGTCACCACACACTACAGAGCGCCACCTCGCGGCACACCGGCGGCGCCACCACACGGCCACCCAGCAATAGCGCGCTAATTACGACGACGTTAATGCACGTAACTGATAGCGCCGCTGCACTTTGAGGTGGCGATGGAAACAACTTTAAACGATAAGCATGACGACAGGCGGCAGGCGTCCAGCAGCCCCCCGGTTCGTCAGACGAGCGGCCGGCCGCTCCGAGGAGCCAGGCCGAGGGTCGGCCACGTGACGCGACAGGCGGCAGGCGTCCAGCAGCCTCTCGGTTCGTCAGGCGAGCGGCCGGCCGCTCCGAGGAGCCAGACCGAGGGTCGGCCACGTGACGTGACCACTGGGCACGCGGGGGCGTCGCCGACTCCCCTGGACCCTGGCAGCCGACGGAGCACGACACGGGCGCCACAAATGTCCAGACTACTGCGGACAGCCGCGGTGAGACAAACCATGCTCGAATCGCTAGAAGCTATAAGCAATCTCAAATCTGGATGCCGTTGGGATTTCCTCATGACGAGCGTCCCATCACTTGTTTTGCATCTATTGCTCAGCTACGGGCCAAACGGACATCGAAGAAGTGGGAAGTTGCGCTTACCGCAGTGTCACCTCAGCTGTTGTTGCTCTCACCCTGGCAGGAGGGGCGAGCACTGGGGGGAATCGAGGCTCCTGGCAGACAAACAAGCTTAGAAGTGATGGTTAACGCAGACGCCTTAACCACTACACTTCTGGCACCCACAGTGTAACCTGAGAAGCAATGGGGTTTTCGTTCAGTGTAACCAGTGGTTAACAGGACCAAGCAGTGCTGAAAGATGGTCAAAAATACCTAACGTAATTCATATAAAAGTCACTGTTGAACCATCAGTTGCGTGCTGTTTTTATTGTGGCTTTACGTCACACGCATAGGAGGCTAGGGTAAACGGTGTCGCCAGCTGTTGCGTATTACCATGACCGTTGTGTGACGCCCGCTTCCACAGGAGTCAAGGCTGCATCTAAAAGATCTCCACCAGGACGGAACGTCCGCCCACTGCCAGAAGAATCGCACGTCACGTATCGTGACCTAGTGGCATTATGTCAATAATATGATCAAACACATCACATATGATGTAGTCGACCAGCGCCAGCTGCAGGCAGCATGCCCTGCCACAGGGCGCTGTGACCAATCATGGCGTGATGGAGGCAGAGAGCGCCACTGCGAATATGCAGACAAGGTCACGCGACCCGTGTTGCCGCCGCTGCAGACCCGCTGACCCGACGCCCATTGGATGGCAAACGTGACGTCACTGCTCCTATGGCGGAATATGGCCGGCGGCGGCGGAAATCGAGCTGCATACAGTGAAAACTAACGGCTGCATGCTCTACATCAACGTCCGTCCGAAGGAACGCATGTAGGCTGTCATACAGGACGACAAGCGCGGTGCAGCACATTAACGAAAGTCACTGCATCACCACGAGTGTCACTTCGGCTGGTCGTTCTAGGCTTTACATTGGACACCTGTGTCGCTGTGCTATGCAAAGCATGCAGATCATGGCGGGCGGCTGGGCCGCGCTGCTCAGTTACGCACTTTTAGGAGCGTACTCGCCATGACATGCATACATTGTCATGGTCATT